CTGACTTTCGAAAATCTGGCTGCCTAAGAGCCTTAATTTCTCGTCCCCGATTACGCCATATTCGTAGTTTAAAGCATATCGTGCCCATGCCAATGTCTGAGAATCTTTCTCTCATTAGGCTTTAAACCCATGAATAAGTTATCCTCTTTCTCATCCCCATCCGCGGTGCCTATCATGCTTTGGGGCCTTGTGTCTCGCTTAATTCATATCTACGATATAATTATGATAAAAAGATTGCCAGTCGATGTACTGATTACAGCAGATAAAAGAAAACAATCGTAAGTCCATCTTAGCATTTGACCTTTCTTAACTGTTGTAAACGTTAAGGCAGCCATCCTAGTTCTTGTAATTTAATGATAAAACATCATTCCGATAAGGTCATTGTTATATTATATCAAGCTTCTCTGAAAAAATAAGAGGAAACATATTATATAGAAAGGGGAAAATTATTTACGTTTTTAGTTAGCAAATCTAGACTCAGGCATGATACAAGTAAGATTATCACTCCGGAGGATTTCCTGAAACTACAGAAGATTACTGACAAAATGTCGAAAAGGATATCGAACATAATCAAAAGATGGCCTCAGAGGAAGCTGGATGAATATGTGATCTATAGCAGCCCAAGGTCCAACCCCCAGGCAAAAATGAAGATGCCTCTAGAATGACGGATCCCACAATCCAGACAAGAGAAGATAAAGTAATGAATCTGTCTTCCGTCTCTCTTGACCTGGAAACCACAGATATTCTAAAGTAGGGACTAAATTTTACACTTCGGAATAAAAAGAAGGCAATCAAGGAAGGCAGTTGAAGTGATAAATAGTTGAGAAACTACCTGAAGAATCAGAGAGATGGAAATAGAAATTATCTCAGCAATCTTGGTCCATCAAGAATCTACGGATAGTAACAATATAACCAAGGTATATAAAGAATTGAGAATAAATGATAAAATCAGCATACAAGCTGACAAAGGTGTCACAGTGGTGACGGACAGGAAGGAATATACAGAGAGAATGGAAAATATTATCGGGGACACTACAACTTATCAACTACTAGCAAAAGACTCAACCGTTAAAATCAAAGGGACACAGTAAAAAATGCCGAAGGAAATGAATATGAATAGGGAAATCGAGAAATTGACAATGAATTCACTCAAACAAAAAGAAGAAACAGCCTCAGTGGAATAAGGATTACTGAAGGTACACTAAAAAGGAGATTCATTAAGACAAAAATGAACCAACGCACAAACTAGCGAAATTTATTTGCCTCAAACTAAAGAAAGAGAAAGACAAATGATCGAATATAGTGAATAACGCATACGAATTTTGTCAAGAAAGGAAAGGCAGCAGTTTGGAAGAAAACGAACTTGAAATGAGCTTTGATGTACAGTTCATGTACACTAATAGCACATTAGAAAAAGCACTCAGCACTACTAGAGATATTAGAAAAAGATGACATCCTGGAGACAAAGCGAATCCGTAAAGATTCTCTAGCCCGATTGATCAACTTAATGATAAGAACGAGCTAGTTCACGTGCAACGGCCACATCTATGAGCAAATATTCGGTCAGTCTACGGGCTCACCGCTTTCACCTCTCTTGGTTAATGTCTTCATGGGCAAGTTGGAGAAGAATTTCAAAATGTCACCTCAGCAGATAACAGTAATCATACGATATTTAGATGACTACTTCGCATTTTGGTCACATGGAAGAGAAAATTAGACGATTTCCTGAATTTTATAAACGAAATGGATGAAAAAGCCAAACTTACAATGGATATGGAAGAGAATAGACACTTACCTTTCTTAGGTGTCGAGATCATTCGCTCCAAGGAAACTCTCAAGAGACGACTATACCGAAAGAAATCACATGCTGGAATAACTCTTAACTTCTGATGCTGAGAATCGGAATGCTGGGAATCATGACAACTACTATGGCAGACGACTTCGGACTAGGTGCGTTCTACATAGTCGCCCTGAGCTGGGAATCATGACAACTACTATGGCAGACGACTTCGGACTAGGTGCGTTCTACATAGTCTCCCTGAAAATAAGACCAAGTTGCGACAACGAGGTCAACCCACTTCTTAACTTCTAGTCTAATAATGCATATGGAATGAAGATTATAATACTCCGGACTATGGTTATAAGAAGGCTAGGAATCGGTGATTTTGAGTTCTGGGAAGAGAAACTGGAAAAACCAACTCAAATTTGTCCCGAAAACGGATATCCAAAAGCAATAGAACGCAACATACGGATTGTGATAAACAAATGGAAGGGTGGAGATTACGAAAGGAAGACAAGAAAAACAGAGGAAAAACGATGGGTATGTCTACCCTCCTGCAAATTGGCTTGGAAGCTGCGGTCGATACTACGAAATGGAACATTCGTACAATCCTGAAGGAAAGGACAACTCTCTTCACCAGCTTGTCTAGTCAACATGAAGAATTTAACAAAATGGAGTGACCTGGAGTTTACAGCATAAACTGCGAGGGCTGTAAGCAAAAAAACGTTGGGGAGACTAGAAGGACAATCAGCACAAGGATAAAAAAACACCAACGACTATGCAGGTAAATGTATAGGGAAAGATCTGCGATATCTGAACAAATGGTTCTTACCGGCCACACAAGTTACTGGAATGCTACGGGAAGACTGGGGAAAACATCAGGAAACAGGGGATCAAAGAGGCTGTGGACATCTTCTTTATAAGAAGCTTGATGAACAGGAGATCAGAAGAGGAAAGAATAAGCGATAATTTCGCGTACTGCCTGGGGAGACTTGGAGATTCAGCGAAGACATCAAAAAGGACCAAGGACAACTGTTCAACAATAGGAAGAGAAATCACCATGGCACGGCTCATGAGAGCAAAGGGAAGTCAAGAAAAGGCGACTGCAATGAGAGGATTCAAATCTAGAATTGGCCAAAGATTAACCCGGATTAGTCTACTTGTGAGACTTACGATATTAAATTAAAGACTAAAGTGGTGGGTGGGCTATATATAGATCACCCAAGTGTGTTCGTGGGTGCTTGTGTATATTTTTCGTGCCTGTGTCTGAAAGGGAGATGGCCGGTAAAACGCTTAACCATGGGGAATACCAGCCGGCACACACATGAACATCGTCCTAGTACCCTAGGATTAGATGTGAATGTCAACTCAAGAAGAGGAGTGTGTTTTCGCGATTCAAGGGGAAAAAGCAAAGCGGTGCATTTCACACCAGCGGTTATGACTTAAACAGGACACAGGGACCCATAGAATGAGACACAATATGAATGGGGACGAGGGAGAGGATAATCGAGTCATGTGTTTGAAGCCTAGGGAGAAGGGTCCCAGGCACTGGTATGTCCATGAGCATTGACATGGGCATCATCTGGTATAGATCCTCAAATATGGCGTAATCGAAGACGATAAATGAAGGCTTTTAAACAGTGATTTTGATTTTTAACAGCGACTAATTGATAAGCGGGTTAGGCGGAAGGGCTGAATAAAGGTGGGGATCTCTTCAAACTGCACCTGGTACCGGCGATGAAGATGAATAAGCATACCTAAAACCGCTTAAGCGACACACTCCTGTGCGACATTGGAGGGAACGAGAGCATAGAAGTTTGCTAATAGGGAGATGTGGCATATAAGTGGGGTTAAGAGAAAGAGATGCGGCACTAGAAAGTAGAACAAGAAATAGGTAAGGAGTGATGCCACAACGGTTAAACAGACAATTAGCCAGCGGGATTGCCTTCACTTGTCCCTTTGATAAGTTATAGCTCTGTGCTAACGATGGCACCTCTCATTTACGATGCCGACGAAACGTTCGGGAATGTACCAAGTCGATGGCACAGTGCTGGGAATCACGAATACTATGGCAGGGAACACTGAACTAGATTGACTCAACAAGGTCTCCCTGACGCTACAATCGAGTTGCGAAAACGATGTCGGACCAATTCTAACTGCATTTTTCTTTGCTGAATATAGCCCTATAGAGAAAGCTTACTTTTTCCGAGATGAGCACATGGCTTCATTGATTACCCTTTGTCCTTGTCTCCTGTCTTTTCTTTGGTTTGGGACTGACAATGATAATGATTAACAACAAGTAACTTAGCCAAAGGAATCCCCACCTGAACTGCAGTGGTAAAACTTGGTAGAAATTATATGTCACACGAATTCGCTGCA